CTTCCATGCAAGTTTCTTGTTACCTCTGATAGCAGTTAGAAGGAATTTTCTATGCCTTTTCTTTGTGATACATAAGTCTTTCCCTCAATACATTAACAGATATAGTATTAGAAAGCTGTACGTTCTCTGAAAACCCCTGTAATAAAGCTGTGGTGACAGATGGAAGGGGAAGGGAGCACAAGATTTGTAGGTGAGAAAAAATGGAAGTCTCTTTCTGTAGGCCTTTCAATTTTTAAAGCATAATTTTGCTGAGCTTTAGAGGCTTGGGACATTTTGAAAGTCAAAGAGTATTAATCCTGCATTGATCCGGTGTATCTGGAGACTGGCTCCTCTCCTCCCACTCTCCCCATCCCCTTACTTCTCCCTTGAAGCACAGAGATCTCTAGAAAATGCAATCCATGCGATGACGTTCTGAAACAGACGTCCCAGGTCAGGGCACTGAAGTTCCTCGATAGCATTGTTAGAGCTGTTAAAGTTGCTTCTATATTACTGATAGCAGTCCCAGCTCCCTTCCGCACCAGCTGAACCTTGTTACCTACCACGCACTAAGGGGTGCTCTTTTCCAGGAGTGGGTTAGCTGTCAAATATAGTGAGCGTGTCCTGTGGGGAAAGTTGCAAATGCTTTTCACTTCTAAGAGCAATAGAGGAGTAGAGATTTTTATGAGCAAGTTCAACTTCTGTGTTCTGTCTGCCTATCTGTTGTTCCTATCATGGTGTGAACACTAGCTAGCTGATTGTAAAAGAAAGAAAGAAATCTGAGATGTTCAGGGCAACCTCATGCATACGGAGAAAATCTGATGAATGCACTTGTTCATATAAGCAAGAATTAATTTCTCAGAGCAGGTAAGCAGTCACTCACTGAACCTCAAAGTCCACACGATCAAAACGGCCCTTCTGAGGTAAAGAAGGCCGGGCGTTTAGTCTGTATCCATCGGTCATTTCTGCCCTGTTTTCTCTGTAAGTGGAGGGCGTTCTGTATGCTCTGACCGTGCTTTATGGAAGCTTAAAGTCTCCCTTTTCCTTACCCCATAATATTTTAGTTATATCTTCTTGTGGTATTGAGTGAATGGAGGGGAGGGGATGATATTTAATGAAATAATGCACGTGGAGAAAAATATCTTTAACTTTCTTGGATTCCATGTTAGTTGTGGCCTGAAAATGTTGTGTTGATTACAGGCAAAAGATAAATTAGAATATCTAGAATTATTTGGGAAGGAATAGAGAACAAAACTCAGCACATCTTTCTGCAACTTCAGTGTTGCATACAATTCTGGTCACCCACATTTCAGAATGGATGAATTAGAATTATACAAGACAAAGAGAAAGAAGCAGTAATCAGAGAGGAATGGGAATGATTTCAGTTGAGGAGTGAGTAAATTGATTGAGATTCTTCATTATATGTACCTCTGTTCATATCCCCTGATGAAGGATATAATAGAGGTACATGAAATCATGAAGTACACGTAGAAGGCAGCACAAGGGGAAATTATTTTTTACGTAATGCATCAACTTTGTCTAAGACACTTGCATGAGGTGTTATGTTTGAAAAAAGTTTGGAAAGTGGTAAGACATAAGACTCATAATTGGCATCAAGCATAGTGATATGAATAGCATTCTAACATTAGAAGGACTTAAAATGTGGGTTGTGGAAAAAATGGAACATAAGCTGCAGGAAATGTCGCTGTATATTTGTATTCTTTCTTAGTCTCTTTTCTTACATGTTTGTTATCAAGAGAAAACTGGGCTATGTGATTGACCTAGGCTGGCTTTTTTAGTTTATGCTATTCTTAAATTTTTTAGGGGGAAGGGGGTTACTCACCATTTGAACTGTGTTTCACCTACAGCTTAGAATACCTTCCTTGATGCTGATAAGATCAGGTAGGTGGGCATAAAAGCCGCAGGCTTTTATGACACAGGCTCCATCTGATATCTTTAATAGCAGCAAAGTATTACTGAGTCTGTATTACAAATGTACACCTGAAAGAATGTCTGTGTTCAATGGAAACTGTGTTATGTGCCTAGCTGTTTCCAAAGCTTTGTTTGAATCAAGGTGATAGACGTGCTCACTAGCTGGCCGTGGAGCAGTGTCTTTGTGTGTAAAAAGATAAGATAGAGCATTCTACAGATTATAATAGCAGTAGTTCTGCTACTGTCAGTGTAGTCTCTCTCTGGATTTTGTTCTTCATAAGCCGTATTTTGATGTAACTAATATAATCTGAACTACTAGAGTCACAGCACATTTTAATTCTCTATTAGTTTCTTGGAAATGAAAAACAGCTAACAAAAACCTCCAAAAACAGCAGTAAACATACATTCAAAATAGTTCTGTATCTGCTACATGTTCTGTAATACATAGGGTTACATAGGTCTATACAAGATAGCAGATATTTTGAGGTGGGTGTTTGGTGAGACTTATTGTAGAAATACATTGCTACTTCAGAGTTGCCACCAGTGGAAGATATATACAAGAATTAGAATTAAAAGAAAAACAAAAGAATAAGGTACTCTCTATTCTACATGTCTGCGAAAAGCTATCTTGTGCATACCTTTTTTTTCTGTTACTCTAGATACTCTAGACTTTTTTTTTTTTTTTTAACAGTATTATCTCTGAGTACTGGAGACAATTGAAGTGATCTCAGTTTTTCTGCCTGATGTTGCAGACAAAAGATAATGATGCAGCTGCCTCCATATGTATTTGACCTTCCTCGCTACAAAGCTACTATAGCACTATACAGCTTACACCTCTCACAGTTGGAACATACAGTTGTTTTTAATTATTTCTAGGGACCAAAAAAAAAAAAAAAAAGATTTTGAAATAAAATTCTTTCCATATGTCAAAGCTGTGTTGGAAAAGTAAAAGTTTGTTGCGAAGCACTGAATCAGAACAGGAATCTAGTGCAGGGAACAGTCAGGATCAGCCTCACAGATTCTGCTTACTGCTTAGTGGATCAGACCTGGTTTCAGTAGCTTAAGAGATGTATGTAGCTGAATGTTATGCGCTTCATTTCAAAATCTGGTATTTTATGACTCTAATATATAATACAATGCTGAAAGTGCAAAACTTGTGTGGATCTTTAACAATCTTGAACTTATTATAAATACAGATGAATAGTATGCCATTGACTTGTGTGAGTTAAAACTTTAGCCTTCCTGTTACTAAATTAAAGTTAATTTTATGTATTTACCATTACCATAGTCATACGTACAAGTAAGTAATTATGAAAACAGAAAAGGAAAATATCACTCCTTTTGCATTAAAAAAAAAAAGAAGAAATAAAATGAGTGGCAAAGTTTGGAAGCACTGCTGATCTTGAAATATCATGTACCCCTTGTGTATCTCATAAGTGAAACTTCTTCTTACCAGTTCTGTATGAACAATCTGCAAACAGGGTTTCCAAAGGGTTTTATATTTAAGGAGAGTAGCAGAACCATTTTATTTAATGGTCATTCCACTAGCAGATCATTCTTAACTCAAATTTATGCATGGTATATCACCATTGGCATGAGATTATTAACCATTATTTCTTCCATGGTAAAATTTTTAATGGTTTTGCTTAGTCGGATGTACTGCTTCAGAGCTGATTTGTTTTTTGTCTTGTAACTTTTATATGAATTTATGGAATGATCTGTGATTAGATTATTACAGAAAACAGAATCTGAAACCATAAAGCCATGGTTTATTACCTTCTAAATTTGACTGTTCATAGTCAAAATGGTATATCTTAAAGTGCATACATTTGGTTTACTAAGGATATTAAGAAATATAATATTTAAATGAAATGACAATAGGTTATTTAATAATATAAAGCTGTATTTAATAGCTGTACGTATACCGTAGCAGTTAAAGCCGAAAGAATAAATAAAAAATATCTGCCAATATAGGCTTCTGCTTTTATAAGAGCCTTATTTATTGTCATGCTGGAATCTATGTTGTTAGTTTTCCAAACATTGCTTTACACTACTGCAAAGCGTCATGAATAACCAGTTTGTGGAATGGTTATTCATGGTCATTGCTGGCTGAGAATTGCAACAATATTAATTTTTATTAACTATTTTTAACAGTACAATTATAGCCACTGGCCAGTTGCACTATGAAAGCCTTTGAGTTCAATTCATAGATTCTCCAGTAGGGAAAATTTTCCAGTCATCCATTTCCTTGCATGTAAAAGTCAAGTTCTGAATCTGAGCGCGTTGTCTTACGTTCTCTTTATATACAGAGAAGAGAAATCGGGGATCTCCCACAAGTCCGTATCATAGTAAGGCACGCAACTAAAGTGAATTGTCATTAGGAAATGGGTATTGAAAAGCTGATAAAAGTAGTCAATTAAAATGGAATCATGTTAGTATAGACAAGGTATGTAAGTCTCCTTTTATCAGATTAAGTAGTATAGCTGGAAATAGCTGAAAAAGATAGATAAACTTTTGGGTGTGCAATCACTTCTTCCAGTGTGAAATGGAAGAAACAAACTTGAAAGATAAGTACAAGTTAAGAATGATTGCCCTGATCTAATATGCATCAGACAACCAGAAACAAGGTAATTGGTAACTGGGGAGCAGCGGGATAATTACTTCATCTCCGATTCCTCTATCTAATAGTTTTGTAAAACATATTCCCCCACCAGTAGCTTAGTGTTACTGTTCTTTAGCCTGTGATTGAGATTGGTTACCCTACCTTGGATCATCTATTTAGAAAGAT